CTCCCCGCTGCCAACATCCCACCAGAGAGGTACATTTGTTCTAAGCAATGAGGCTACATTGATACAGCATCATCCAAAGTTGACAGCTTACATTAGGGCCCCCCTTGGTGTTGTATATTCCGTGAGTTTGGACAAATGTATAATGATATACGTCCACCATTGTAGTAGTACTATATAGAGCATTTCCACTGCCTTAAAATTCCTCTGTGCTCTACCTACTCACCCCTCCCTGCCCTCCAAGCTCTGACAACCACTGATCTTTGTTACTGCCTCCAGAGTTTTGCCTTTTCCACACTGTCCTATAGTTGAAATCATACAGTATGTAGCCTTTTCAAAACGGCTACTTTCCTTAGTAATATCCATTTAAAGCGCCTTTCACTTTTAAGATTTCTGGGATGTCTAAACTGCTATGATTTTAAATTCTAAAGCTGTGTCCTAAGGCAACATGACATCAGAAAGATCTTTCTCTCTCTGCTTATCTTGTCCCCAGGTCTGATAAAAGGGATCAATTTTCTTCTTTCTCATAGGACTTGACTTACGCTGAAAGCCAGACAGATCAAAGCTATCATAAATGTAGGGGTATTTTTGTTTCTTTTTGTTCAAGATCATTTTTTTAAATACAGTAGAAATATTCCATGAAACACACCTCCTTAACTCACTCTAACTCAGTTTTCAGCACTGGCCAGGTGTGGTGGCTCATGCCTGTAATCCCAGCTCTTTGAGAGGCCAAGGCAGGCTGATCACTTGAGGTCAGGAGTTCAAGATCAGCCTGGCCAACATGGTGAAACCCCGTCTCTACTAGAAATACAAAAATTAGCCAGGTGTGGTGGCACGCACCTGTAGTCCCAACTACTCGGGAGGCTGAGGCAGGAGAACCGCTAGCACCTGGGGGATGGAGCCTTCAGTGAGCCAAGATTGCACCACTACACTCCAGCCTGGACGACAGAGCGAGACTCCATCTCAAAACAAAAAACGTCAGCACTGATGCTTACTATAAAACAGCATTTGGAGGTTTCCCACTCCTTTTCCAAGCAAGTTTAGAATCAGCCATTGTTGTTGTTGCTGTTCGAGACAGGGTCTTGCTCTGTCGCCCAGGTTAGAATGCAGGGGTGCGATCACTGGCTCACTGCTGCCTCAAACTCCTGGCTCAAGTCGATCTCCCATCTCAGCCTCCCCAGTAGTGGACTGCAGGCACATGCCACTACCCCTGGATAACTTTTTAATTTTTTGTAGAGACAATGTTTCCCAGTCTGGTCTCAAACTCCTGGCCTCAAGTAATCCTCTCACCTCGGCCTCCCAAAGTGCCAAGATTACAGGTGTGAGCCACCATGCCTGGTCCTAGAGCCGGCCTTGAACTCAAATTGCAGCCTTGCTTCATGTCTGCTCCTAGAGCCAGCCTTGAACTCAAATTGCAGCCCTGCCTCTGACAAGTGGTGAGTGGAGTCACTTCACCTCCGTGAGTCCCTTGGCCTCTGTGAGGTGCCTGCCTCCAGGGCTGTGTGAATTGCAGCTGACAGAGCAATCGGGGCACACAGTACGTGCTCAATAACAGGCAGCTGCTATCAGAACTACATCTTCTGTGCAAACGCCCTAGGCCTTTTACTAGCACCTGAATCTCAAAACATGATTAAACATAGCAGAACCCCAATTTATGGCAGAGACAAGACGTGGTCTCTTACATCCCTCCTGGTGGCCCTTCCTTCTTCTCGGGGAAAACTCAGGCAGGGAGGACTCAGGTCCAGAGAGGAGTGAGGACGGAAAACAAAGCCTGGAAGAGGAGAGGGGAGCCCAAGGTACTGACCCCTTCCTGAACTGAGAACAGAGAACTGCCTTTTGAACCTGTTCCTGGTTTCCTCACCTTCCAGCTACACAGGAACACGGGAGATGTGAGTCCTAGGTCCAGCTCTGACCTCCTCTGTTTAGCCTGGGCTGGCCACTCGCCCCAGGAGTCTGCTGCCTCCAGGGTCAGGTGGCGGTGGGAGTCCAGGCCTCTGACCTCCAGGGTCTCTCTGCCATTGCCACGTGGTGTTCTTGACTCTGAACATGCAGGCTCCTTCCTGCCTGGGTTTCAGGAGCACACCAGCTCCTGCCGGTCACCAGGCCACCACGCTGCACGCTGCAGGTGACGAACTGAGAGCAGTGGGAGGACAAAGGACTGAGTGGCATCCCTCCTGTCTCCTTTGCATTCACAGACACTGAGTCTAACAGTCTCGTGGTGAAAGGCTGTTCCAATGTCAGTAACGCCACCTGTCAGTTCCTGTCTGGTGAAAATAAGACTTTTGGAGGAGTCATCTTTCGAAAGTTTGAGTGTGCAAACGTAAACAACTTAACCCCCACGTCTACGCCGACCACTTCCCACAACATGGGCTTCAAAGCTTCCCTCAGCCTCTTGGCCTTTGCCAGCCTCCTTCTGCTGGGACTGTGGCCCTGAGGTCCTGGGGCTGCACTTTGTCCAGCACCCCATTTCTGCTGCTCTGAGGTCCAGAGCACCCCATGGGGTGCTGACACCCTCTTTCCCTGCCCTGCCCCATTTAACTGCCCAGTAAGTGGGAGTCACAGGTCTCCAGGTAATGCCGACAGCTGCCTTGTTCTCCATTATTAAAGCGCTGGTTCATTCACTGCCCAAATCTGTCCTGATGCATTCTGGGCTGGGCCTCATTTGAGCTGTTATCCAGCACCACCTCCCACTCCTGGGCTGCAGGTGGGGTTCTTGCCTTTGAAACTGTGCACGTTTGTTTCTGGGATCTGATGACATTGTGCTTCTGGGAAGCCAACCCCTTGACCTTGCAGCCTGCACCTCTGGGGACGGACATGCCACCATCCGCACTGTCACACAAAAGGAGCTCCCCGCCTACCTTATAAGGCCTGTGTTGACCCCAGTACAGAAGCTCCTTCAGTATTGGCCAATATATGGCTCTTCAACAGTTGTCCTGATTGTGGTCAGAAGTCCACAGTGAGTGAAGAAAACAGCATCATCTCAGGGTCCTATCACGATGGGGGCCCAAGGAGGGTTGGAGGGTTGAAGACCAGCATGCTCCTACTGACTAGCCTTCCCAGGCAGGGACACGAGTAAGTCACTGGGAAAGCTGCAATGCCAGGCTCCATTCCTGGCTGAGGAAGTTTTCTGCAGCCTTGTGCAGAATGGACTGTGGCCACAGAGCCCCAGTCCGGCCCCTCAGAGAGCTTATAATCAAACACACAGTTACTAACTCCATATCAAATGCCAAGGGAGCAAGAAAACCATTCAATCGAATATGCCCAGAGGTCCAGGTCTAGTAAATAAGGCGGGCCTTGAGCTGAGCTTGGAAAAATGGGGTTTGCGGTAACAAATATTTTTTTGTAAACTGATGTGGGTCAGCATTAGCCAGGATTGCTGGCAATGCACCGTGGACAAAGCCACCATAAAGGTCCTCGGATGGCAACTCATCACCACATGTACTCTTACTGATTTCAGCTTGTGATTTTGAAATGGAATTTTAGACTTACTGAAAACTTGCAAAAATTAGACACAGAATTCTACTATCTCCTTCATGCAGCTTCTCCTCACGTTCACATTTCAGATAATCACAGTACAGTTACTGAAAGCAGGAAATGTTCACAGAAACAATATTGCTCACGAACAGACCTCATTTGCATTTCACCAGTTTCTATGGATGTCTTTTTTTTCCTGATCCAGGATCCAATTCTTTGCATTTAATTGTCATGTCCCCTCAGTCTCCTTCAAATGGCGGCAGTTCTGGCATCTACCAAGACCTCGATAATTAAGAAAATTATTGGCCATTTTGTAGAATGTTTCCCAATCTGAGCTCGTCTGAAGTTTTCTTGTGATCAGATTGAGGTTATGCATTTTTGGCAAGAAAACCATGGCAATGATACGCCCGTCTCAGTGCATTTTATCAGGAGATACGTGACGTCAACGAGTCATATTACTGGTGATGTTAACCTTGGTTAAGGTTAATATCTTTCAGGTTTCTCCATTGTAAAGTTGCTATTACTTCTTAATATAATAGGCTAGGTTGTGCTGCTATAACAAGTATACCTTAGTAAAAAAAAAAATCACACAATGGGAGTTTATTTCTCAGCAATAGATGCTCCTGGCGGGACATCTGTCCAGGGTTGCTCTTCTCCAGGAGTAAGGAAGGCGTCATGCTTCTTTGTTCCCACAGTTCCACCATCCCTCATAACCCATTGGACTCTCAGTTAAGTGCTCTGTCTGTAGCCAGCTGATAAGTACAAAGAGAGAGCCCCTGGAGGGCTGTGCAGAATGGCTCAGGGGCCAGGGCTGGCAGTGACATCCATCACTTATGCTCGTAAATCCAGCCACAGGACCTTGAGGAAGAGACTTTTCCTCTCTGGGCCTTAGTTTCCCCAAGTGTATAATGGGGATAGTGATAAGGTCTGCTACATGGGGTTGTGAGGTCTGTCAACATAGTTCTCCCTGTGAAGCTTAGCACAGAGCTTGGCAAGGAGTAAATGTTAACAGTAGAAGATTGCAGTCTGGAGGGCGCTCCCTAAAGACAGTGGGAAGAGAGGCCACAAGAAATGCTGATGTAGAAGGAACTGTCTCTGCTCAGCTCCCTCTGATGATGCCAACCTCACTAAGGTTACAGCTGCTTCTGTCTCAGTCTCAGAATCTCGTATACACTCTACTTGCCCTTCCTAGGCCCTCCGTGGCTGCTGACACCATGGCCTCACAGACAGCAACGGGGGCTTCTCTGCCTCTCATCTGCATTGTCTGAACTACCAGCTAGCTGGTTCTTTTTTTTGTTTGTTTTTTTTTGAGACGGAGTCTCACTCTGTCGCCCGGGCTGGAGTGTTGTGGCCCGATCTCAGCTCACTGCAAGCTCCGCCCCCCAGGTTCACGCCATTCTCCTGCCTCAGCCTCCCGAGTAGCTGGGACTACAGGCGCCGCCACCTCACCCAGCTAGTTTTTTTTTTTTTGTATTTTTTAGTAGAGATGGGGTTTCACTGTGTCAGCCAGGATGGTCTTGATCTCCTGACCTCGTGATCCGCCCGTCTCGGCCTCCCAAAGTGCTGGGATTACAGGCTTGAGCCACCGCGCCCAGCCAGCTAGCTGGTTCTTAATGTCTCCTGGAAGCCCCAGTGCTCCATGTTGATGTGAGGAAGCAGCGACAAGTTTGGGGAACTGCAAAAGGTCACATGGGAGCCTGCCTGAAGGGCAAGCAGGACCAGAGCCCAGGAGGTCTCCACAGCATTGTAGATGACTCTGGCTTTAAATTGAAGGCCATGGGAAGTCAGAGTATAGTTAAGTGAGATAGTAAGAGTGGGATTGGGTTTCCATTCTGGGAAGCTTGCCTGGACTGCAGGATGAAGGTGGAAAGAGAGCAGAAAGACAGGGCAGCAAAGTTAAACAGAAATAGTGGGTACTGCCCAGGGGTAGATGCTTTTCATCCTGTCAATGGAGTATAAACTAGTACCCTAATGTACTTCCATTTGCATTACTGGCTCCCACCTCCTTACCCAGAGCAGGGAATTGAGCAGAGTGCCACTCCTGCCTGTGTGTCTACCTTTTTTTCCTCCTGGCTGTTCATGCTTAACTCTAGACTCTTGTCCTCTGGCCCCTGAGCCAGGTCTTGTACTTTGCACCTAAGCTAAAGCCCCTTACTGGCAATTTTTCCTTAGGCTCAGCCTGGGCTCTAGGATAAGCCCCCATGTCTGAGAAACTTCACAGAATTCTACACTCACACTGTATGGTTGGACTAATGACAATGGCCTTGTCTTTCCACAGTACTTTGTAATTTGTAAAGTTCTTTTGCCCATGTTGGTTGATTTTACTTAGAATGAAATTGTATACAGAATTACATTTTAGGTAGGATTTACATACAATAAAATGTATGTGTGCAGTCTGATGAGCATCAACAAACCTGCCCTTGTAACTACCCCCCACCCCAGTGAAGACATGGAAGCCTCTCCAATAGTTCCCCTGGGTCACTACGCAGTTCACTGCACGCTAGCCCCAGGCATCTCCACTCTCCCCTCCTGGAAGTGACAGGCAACACCCTGCTCACAACCCATTGAGTGCAGCGTTCACTCAGCAACACCTGGACTCAAGACAACAGGCAGAATAGTCCCTAGGGGTCCGCTTTTCCCAGCAACAACTCTGCCTCATGGAAGGGGTTAGGATAAGGTACTGTTTCCATCAGACCCCCAAGCCCTTTTCACCCCTTCTCACTGCCTCATCCAGGAAGACAAAAGGAGGATGTGGGGTTCCTTTCTTTGTGCTCAAGACTGGGTTTAGCACATCTGAGCTAAAAGTTTCTTGAACTAAATCTCCAAATAACCTTTAATCTGAAATATAAATTGAACCAAAGTAAAAACCACTTGTCACTATGGGTCTTCAATGTACATTTTCAACGTATACATAATAATTGTAGATATAATATTTATGGGATACATGTGATATTTTGATACAAGCATATAATACATAATGATCAAATCAAGGTAACTGGGATATTCATCACCTCAGACTTGTATCAATTTTTTTTGTATTGGGAACATCACAAATCTTCCTCTTTAGCTATTGTGAAATACAAAAATGATAGCCTACTGTGCTATTGAACACAATAACTTAGTCCTTCTATTGAAATGTATTTTTGTTACCCATTAACCAACCTCCTTTATCCCTACCTCCCCCCTACATTAACTAATCTCTGTTAATCACCATTCTACTCTTTATATCCATGAGATAAACTTTGTTAGTTTCCACATGAGTGAAAACATGCAATATTTGTCTTTTTGTGCCTGGCTTATTTCCCTTAACATACATTCATCATCTTTTCATAAACCCTTGATAAATGGGGTATAGAAGGAACACACCTCAAAACAATCAAGGTAATGTATGACAAATCCACAGTTAACATCCAACTAATGTCCAGCCTTTCCTTTAAGATCTGGTACAAGACAAGGATGTTCACTGTCACCACTTTTATTCAATGCAGTACTGAAAGTTCTAGCCCAAGCAATTAGACAAGAGAAAGAAACAAAGGACATTCAAAATAGAAAAAAAGTAAGTCAGGTGGGCGTGGTGGCTCACGCCTGTAATCCCAGCACTTTGGGATGCTGAGGTGGGCAGATCACGAGATCAGGAGATTGGGACCATCCTGGCTAACATGGTGAAACCCTGTCTGTACTAAAAAATACAAAAAAATTAGCCAGGGGTGGTGGTGGGCGCCTGTAGTCCCAGCTACTTGGGAGGCTGAGGCAGGAGAATGGCCTGAACCCAGGAGGTGGAGCTTGCAGTGAGCCAAGATGGCGCCACTGCACTCCAGCCTGGGTGACAGATCGAGACTCCATCTCAAAAAAAAAAAAAAAAAGAAAAAAAAGAAAAAAAAAATAAGTCAAATTGTCCTTGTTTGCAGATGGCATGATCTTATATTTAGAAAAACCTTAAGATCATGCCAAAAACTGTTAGAATTGCTAAATGAACTCAGTAAAGTTGGAGGATACAAAGTCAACATGCAAAATCAGTAGCATTTCCATTTGCTAACAGTGAACAATCTGAAAAAAATCAAGAAAGCAGTTTAATTTATAACAGCTACAAAAACAAAACAAAACCAACAACAACAATAAAAAAACACCTAGGGATGAATTTAACCAAAGAGTTGAA